ATCAGAAGATTTGCTATGAAGATCCTGTCAAAATCCATGTTGGGGAAAAATTTTGTTTTTCATAGAAGAAACGTAAGTCTTATATCATAAATTTATATGAAAAACAAGATTTCATATCAGATCTGATGTGAAGAATTCTTAACATTGTAAGACTTCAGTATGTAATTTATAGAGATTCTTGACTGTAATTTTATACACAATCAGCTGACAATAAATTCTTTGTAATTTGTAATTTTAAAAGTTAATCCAGTGTAATAACTACTAGTAACAATGGAGAAAGCAATTCTAAGTCATTTTCAATGCCCCTTAGAACAGGATTTGGCCATATTGATTGATTTCACTATTTAAAATTGGGATACAAAAAAATGTAATTCCCTGATGCTGATAAATGATAGTCACAGCATCCATCATTATTGGCCTTTAGAGCTGGGAATTGTGGACCACCACAGGTCGTTACTCTTGATTTAATTGTTCAAGGCCAAATTAGATGTGATGATGACAAAGTTTATTGGCTGAATAGCTAGGAAAAGGAAAACTATTTGGAAGAAATGTCCAAGTGGAGATACTTCTTTTTCTTTTAATTCCTTGATCCCATTTCTTAATCAATGTTTGAGAAAAATTCCATGGCACAATCACATCTACTTTGGCTTAGTTGATACTTGCTGAAGCAGTTGAATTCTATTCCTACAACCCAGATTTTGTGCTGAATACATTTACATTATCAACTTTCTGATGCTGCAATAGTCATCTTATGCAATTCATCTTGAAGTTCATTTTTTAAAAACGTAAAATAAAATAAAAAGAATTATGAAGGTCTAACTGGATTTTTTTTTGTCCCAGTAGTTAACTCCAAAGAGTTACTCCAATTTATTGTGTTTGACTGAAGTGATATATGATTACAGCCTAATCTTATACTAATTTAAATGTGCCTGCCATTTGGTTTGAGATGTTTAGGTTACCCATTTATTCACAAAACTGAAATAGGATAAGTTTCAGACATGAAATAGATGACTGGCCTAGCCCAATAACTGTGTGATGTAATGGCTAGATATAAAGAAATGGAACCAATAAGTAAACAAGAGTCAAAGTATTTTCTTACACTTGTGTTTTTAAATCCATAGTCTGGTGTTCTAATTTCAGCTTTTAAATACCTAAACATCTGTTGTTTTGCATGTCACAAAGAGAATTGTGAACAACAGCCAGAACTTCCCTTCCTTTGGAAACCTTCAGGCTAATAGTTTAATCAATACCTAAAGGGTACTGGAAAAAAAAGTTTTTTCAAAACATGACTGACAAAAATAATTATAACAATAAGTTGAAAAAAATATATACTTGCCAATGACAGCAATGANCAGAGATAGAGACAGAGGGGGAGCCTGGGCCATCCATCAGCCCTCAGATGGGAAGTCAATAGCCCTCAGGTCTTGAGGTAGTTGATGAGGAAGAGAACAGCTGGGTCCAATGCCTAACACGTAGATGTGCAGAAGGCAGAGGAGGGCAGTGGAAATCCATGTCTGTGTCCTCAGTCTTAAGCCCCACCCTCACTCTGGTGATAAAAGGCAGGGGGCAGAAACAAACAGGTGCAGCAGACAGCTATTTGTTTTCCCTGTCGGCCAGCCACTGATAATCTGAACTTCTGAATCCTGTCTGGAACTTATCATAATTCTTTTTGGAATCTGCAGTGCTTTGGGGGGGGGGTCGCCTTCTGTGCGCGTGTGTGTGTGAATGTGAGCTGCTGGAAAAGAGCAAGCGAACTTTGTAGGACTTTCTTTACGACTGGGGGTGGGGGAGGAAGAAAGAGAGACTCCCAATGTGTTGGGACCATTTTAGGGGGAAAAGCATAGCTTTCCATATGCACTTTGAGACTTTGTTAGCCTGCTGTGAGAGAAACAAAGACTCTTTGCTCGGGGCTGCTGGTGCTCCAAATAAAGGGAACATTTAGTTAAACACAATGTGCTTGTCATGTTTGGGAGCCAGGTCAGGACAGTCAGGTTAGGTAGAGTGCAGATATAAAGAAGAAAAATTAACAATCTTCTTTACATTCTTTAATAGTGAAAACTGCTAAAGCTATTATCGAAGCAGCAAATATTTACCTGGTCGTCAGTACAGCAAGCTGCCTGGCACCCGAAGTGAGCCAGGGAAACAGCGATGCAAAATTCCAGCACACTGAACAAGAGCAGCACACTGGAGAGGCCATGACCGACACTCTGTAGACTCTGTAGACATGTGGAGAGATAGTTTTAATCTGCTGAGAAATTACTGTAATGGTATGTATTTTATTTTATTGAATGTGCTGCACCATTAAAAGGGACTCCCAGCTGCTCCCTTGGGAAACACTGGGAGGAATAATTGCATTGGGGGAAAATTGCATTGCACAGGTAACCCTCGACTTAACAGCCGCAATTGGGGCCAGACTTTCCACTGCTAAACAAAGGGATTGTTAAGTGAATTGTGCGTAATTTTACATTTTCTGCCACTGTTGTTAAGCAAATTGCTGCAGTTAAGAGAATCATACGGTTGTTAAGTGAATCTTTCCCACCCCCACTGTCTTTGCTGATGAGAAGCTGACTGGGGTTGCAAAGGGGATGCTGCAACTGTCCTAAATAAATTGCTAGTAGCTAAACCCCCAAATTTTAATCAGGTGACTGTGGGGAGGCTGCAATGGTCATAAATGCAAGGAGCGGTCATAATTTTTTTTGAGTGCCATTGATACTAAATTTTCCATTGTAAATTGAATAATTGTAAAGTAATTGTAAAGACTACCTCTACAGCCTGTGTACTCTAACAAAACTGCATCAGGGAACATTAGCATCTCTATCTTTTGCAATATTCTAAAGGGAAGCATCTGCCCCACTCTCTGTTGAAATAAATACATGTAATTTGTTTGCCCTCCATTTCCCAACAGGAAATTCAGAGGCTCTGTTTTCCTGCTGACTGGAGAGAAGTAATGGAGGAGAGTGTCTAGGGAGATTCTCAGTCATCCAGGTCGTGGTCGTCCCAACGGTGCATTTTCAAGAGACAACTGGACTTCCTTTGAGACATTTTGATTCTCATCCAAGACGTTTCTTCAGGTCTGACTCCCATCCTGGGATGGAAGGATGTATACTCCTTGCAGACAGCTGGTCATTTCCATCCTTTCAGAGAGTTGTTGAGGCCACCATCTAGTCAGAGCTGAAGAAGCTTCTTGGATGAGAAGTTAAATGTCTTCACAGGAAAACAAGAAAGTCCAGTTGCCTCTTGAAAAAGCACCTTTGGGATGAAGGAGGAGAGATGGGGGGAATATGAAACCTCAAGAAACAAAGTGCTGATGGGAGAAGGAGAAAGAGAAAAGGTTAAGACAGAGGCTGGCTAATCCAAAGAGGAAAATCAATACACCTCCGCACTGTCCTAAGATATCCACTCTTGATCACCTAACGTTATCTCCAAGATTATGGGTGAAGGGAAATAAATTTTACATACCTTGTTGTTGGATGAGCTTAGAATAAGAGGAGAGGAAAAGACTAGTTTTAGACCAGCACAGCTAATGGTGACTTACATCAGGTGTAAATCTTACTCATGGTTTGGGATAAGGTAAAGTTAATCTCATGGGAAAATTGGCATCAACAGAGTATGGTTAAGGCAGCAACGTGATTGAGATTCAGCCAGTCTTAAGATATATTGTTTCCCCTCCTCAATAAGGATGCATCTAGATCTATTTTCTTTACCCAACTTCTTTCCAATCATCTCTCATGCTGGAAAGGAGAAAAGCCCTGGATGTGATACTATTATGATTTAACTCTCAGAAAAAAGCAAAAGACTTTACAAAATACTAAAAATTCAAGCGATTGATCCCAGGAACTGGTGTGGTTATAAACTATCCACACTTCAGAACTTACCTAAATTTCAGTTTTCTAAAACTGGGTGGCAAATGCAAAGAAGGGATGAGGATGTGAAGGTGGCAAGAAAACCTGGTACATGATTTCAACATGTGCAGCTGTATTCTACTTTATATAGAAATTCTCAAGCATTCTTTGGCTTTTCACTACCTAAGCCCTACTGTAAAACAACCAATTTTTTACACTGTACAGAGACATAGTCAAACAATATATCTAAAACACATTTAGACTTTTTAAAAAAATCTATCCCCCTCTCCACCAAATAAACAAACTGGAGAAGAAAGAAGAAATCTACAAACCCCTACTCACTTTGCACCTCAATGACCAGAAGATTGATTCCCCTTATTTAACAAATATATTTTAAAAAGCATTCAAATGAAAAAGCACTCATGTTTTTGTGTCTTAGACTTACTGAAGAAAATATTTTCAAACAAAACTCAAAGGGTTTGGGATATCCTTCCTGCATATCTAATCTTCAGAATTCTGCACAAGAAGCAAAAATTTAAGACAAGATGTTTTACTTACAATTAAATTGTAAGTGTCATAGTCATCCTCATATCTCCAAAAATTATTACTGAGTCTCAGCTCGCATAGGTACAGGATGACACCAATTAATGCCATTATAGCACTTGTGATGTTCAGTCCTGCACTAGATTTCACCTGAAATGGCAATACACCAAAAAGAGAGAAAATACAGTTACAGTGTTATAGCATAGGTTTATGCAAAGCATAAAAACAATTAGCCCCAGTTATAGTAAAAACAGTAAGAATGAAATTCTATGTGGGTGCTTAATGACACATAACCAGTCAGTGGTGAAACCAGACAATATTCAGTAAGATCATAGGAATCAAACAGCAGCAATAACAGGGTTTTCCACAGTGGAGAGGCAAATGCCACAATTCATTTGAGGACTTTTCCATCAAATTCTTTCTTTGTTTCAAGATGTCAGCCACGGATCAAAGGTCAGGTGGGTAACAGTGACAGGAAAACCGGTAAGATTATTCAACCTTAACATTTTGGTTAAAGAAACCCCACAGTTTATTCTAGGGCAGCGATGGCGAACCTTTTTTGGCTCGTGTGTCATAAGCGGGGAGAGCGCAGGTGGGGGGGGGGTCGTGCGCGGGCGTGCCCACCCATAACACAATGCGCAACCCCCAGCGTGCATGTGTACATGACAGGCGCAACCCCCCCCCCCATTTTTGCCTCCCCAGGCTCCAGAGGGTTTATAAGAGCCTGGGGACGGCGAAAACAGCGCGCCCCCCCCCCCGGAGGCCCTCCAGAGGCTTCAGGAGCTTCTCTGAAGGCTGCGGAGGCCGAAAAACGAAGATGGATGTTTTTCTTCTCTTGAATTCACAATGTTCCTTTACAAGACAAAAACATTTCTATGTTCCTATGAATACACTTTAAACCAGACAGAGGAAAAGAATGCAACGTAGGAGGGCTGTTATCAGCTCTCTCCTTGATTCCTACAGAGATTCCCACAGGTGTTCCATACTTTTACTCCTAACATGCTGAGCTTCTTCTTAATGTGGCTTTCATGTAGCAACACTTCTAAAACAGGAACCTCTGCCAAGATGGAGGAGGAGGAGGAAGAGGAGGAGAAGAAGAAGTTGGCTTGTTGGAGGTCTGGTTCAAGACTAGAGAACTCAAGAAGACACCTTTTTGCTCAGGACTAGCACCATTACTAGTAGCAACTAAGGAAGCTCTGGTAGAACAAGCACCCATATCATAGTCATTGACTCTCCCATGCTTCTCTCATTTTTAATAGAGTGCTGAGTGATTATGAAGAAACAGCATAAAATAAATTCAAATGCTATACAGCTTTCTCACCAAAGTATGATTTGGACGGTTCGCAGCTGCTACACATAGTGATCCAGAAGAAATGAACTATGGAAAAAGAAACAAAAAAATATTTTAGTCCACTTGAAATATCAATGGAAGAAAATCTGGCACCCATGGGAAGCCAGGAAGCTTCCCATGCAAACGGGACTTTTATATGTATGCCTTAATCATCAATACCAATGTGCAAGGCTAAATAGCATATACTTACAAATATCCCTCCCCAGAAGGGATAACCTCCAAATCCAGACAAGGGAAGATAGTAAGGAGGAAAGAGACAAAGGGAGACAGCCCCAAAGCCAATGTGAATCAGTCCTATCAATATTTGGACAGCCTGTGGAAGGAAAACACACAACGTAAGACAACTTTGTTCACTGAATCTGAGAAAAACATTTTCATTTGTTAGCACCCCAGGAAAGGCATCACTTTATATACATCTTTGAAAGGTCCTTCAAAGGTGTTGGGGCTTCTAAGCTTCCAGTGCAGTTGTTGACCCAAGGCCTAGTTTCCTGTGATGAAAAATCCAAATGGGGAGAAGGGACAGTTTGAGACCCATTGTCACTATGTACCAGATATTTACTCCAGATTATGATCTAGTTTGACTTCAGTGGGACTGCTTTTGCCAGGAAGAAGGTCTCTATGATTATCAAGATGGGCCTTTGAGAGAAAAAATATCACCGCTCACTACAGACTCCTCTGCAGGAGGGAGTTGATCAAGGTCATAAGCCCAAAGTGACTCCAACCAACTTGGGTTGCAGCCAATCCATGACCAGTTTCTGCTGAAGAAATGCCCAACAGTTGCACTTCTCAGAGGGAAGGGAGAAAAAGAGATGTGTCTGAAACCATGGCTGAGCTCCACTTTCTCAATTAAACAGCAAAGTAAAAGAAACTCATATCGGAGTCGGAATGTTTTGCAGAAACATGAATGAAACCACCAGGAAGAACAGGGGTTTCTGGAGTATATTCCAGAACCAGACAACTTCAACATGGGGCTCTCAGATCTCTACATAGCTCTAAAACCTTAATGGATTCAAACAGGAACATAGCAATTCATGCCTACCCCAAGCACTTTGGGCTCAGCCTTGAGGAATCTCTCCAAAGGACTTTTTTGTGGGACTTGTTGAGGAGCACTGGTGGAAATTCCAAGTTGCTGAACTCCATACTGGGGATATGGTATTGCTCCAGATGCCTGAAGAGCAACACTGGGCAATCCAGGAGCTGTTTGGATTATGTTTGCTCCATTAGAGGGGATGAAAATTATGGTTCCACTGGCCATTCTTGCTGGAAGTGTTGCCACCACTAAGTTACCTGAAAACAAACAAGTGAGGAAAAGTTAATGTCTTAACATCAAGAAGGCAAATTCTGGTCCTTCTGCTTAATGTCACTTTATGAAATACTATTTGCATGCAGTAAAACTGAAGAAGATTTCCAGAAGGCTTCAGGGAGCAGGATAGTAAAAACATAACTTTCTCAGGATAGAAATCCTTCCTTTTGCCACCATTCAGCCAGAACCAAAGAAGCTTCTTGCTTGAGAAGTAAAATGTTTTCAAGAACCCCCCCCCCAAAAAAAAAACTGTAGTTGCCTTTTGAAAAAGACGTTTGGGACAACCATGACCTATATACAGGTGAAACTCGAAAAATTAGAATATTGTGCAAAAGTTCATTTATTTCAGTAATGCAAC